CGTCTGATACATGCCATGGTCTTCAATCACTTGCTATGCATGGAAGAGCTGGACAATGACTAGGGATGATAGAAGGAGAATTGATGCCTTTGAGCTGTGGTGTTGGAGAAGAGTATTGAATATACCATGGACTGCTAGGAAAACAAACAGATTTGTCCTGAAGACAGTGAAGCTGGGCTGCTTCTTGGAGACAAGGATTCTGAAGTTTCGTCCGACATATTTTGGACATGTTGCAAGGAGGGACCAATCTTTGGAGAAGGATGTCATGCTTGGGAGGGTGGAGGGACAGCGCAGGAGAGGAAGACCCTCAGTGAGATGGATTGATTCAGTGACTGGGGTAATGGGGGTAGGTATGTCGGAGATGGTGAGATTGGCACAGAATAGAGCAGGATTTAGGGCTGTTGTGCCTGGGGTTGCTATGATTCGCAGATGACTTGATGGCATATAACAACAACATGCAAAACTTACATGTAGACCAAGGAACAGTTATCTATAAACAGAACAAGGGAACACTGCATGGTTTAAAATCAGGAAAGTGTGCATCAGGGCTATTCTTTCTCCGTGCCTTTTCAGTGTGTGGCTGAGCATGTAATCCAAGAAGTTGGGCTATGTGAAGAACAATGTGGCTTCAGAATTGAAGGAAGACCACATATCAGCAGGGGTTATGGATGACACAATCTTGCTTGCGGAAAGTGAACAAAAGTTGAAGTACTTACTGAAGAAGACAAAACCTATAGTCTTCAGCATGGATTACATCTCCACACAACTTTCTGCCATCAAATGAACCAACTCATGACTGACTGTTCAGTGGATTTCTGAGACTAAATCACACAGGAGTAAAGTGCTCACCTTTCTCCCTGGAACCACTAGTGGGTTTGAACCGCCAGAGACTCAGTCTTGAGGTCATCAAGGCACCTCTGTATGGACTGTGCCACCAACCACATCAGTCCTCACAACGAGACCAATACACAGAATCATAAATGGAGAAGAGATTGCAGCTGTCCATAATCTCCTTTTACTTGGATCCACAGTCAACACCCATGAAACAGCAGCATAATGCGATGGGCAAATCTGCTTCAAGGAACTTACTTAAAATGCTGAAGAGTACAGATGTGCCTGTCCCACGCACAATTTTCAGTTATTTCAAATGCCTGTGGAATTTGAACAATGAATAAAAAAGATAGACAGAGTCTTTTAATTTCCTGGCTGCTGGTGACAAGAGTGTTGACTGTGGATCCAAGGAAACCAAAACTGTGAACAATCTCAATCTCTTCACCATCCATTATGATGCTGCCAATTGGCCCAGTGGTGAGAATCTTTGTTTTTTTGAAATTGAGTCTCAATCCATACTGAAGGCTGCATCCCTGACCTTCCACAGCAAGCGCTTCAGGTCCTCCTCAGTTTCAGCAAGCAGGGTTGTGTCATCTGCATAATGCAGATTGTTGATGATTCTTCCTCCAGTCCTGGTGCCACATTTCTAATGGGAGAATCTAATTTGTTGGGTTTTAGGTCCTAGATGCATAACCATTTTCCCAGTACTTAGTATTGACAGTGTTTTTCTTCCACAATAATTTGAAATGCTGCTTCTATAATAGGGAGCTCTGGTAGCCTAGTGGCAAGAAGCTGCACTACAATCCCGAAGGCATGTAGTTCAAGGCCTCCGCTGCTCTATGGGAGAAAGATGGGCAAACTCCTCCCATGCCATTAGCCTCTATGATAATAACACATGTTGATATATGCATAAATCTGTTTCTGGACTCTCTTCTCTACCAGGTCATCTTCGTTCTGTGCCATCAAGTCAACTATGACTTTGAGCGACCCTATGGACAATAGGTCTGAACCCTGCCCTATCCTGAGCCAATCTCACTGTCTCCAAAGAGAGTGACTGTGGTAATGGGGACAGGTGTACCTTTACTGTAGGAGAGTTTTAATTGGGAAAGTGTCACACGCTTATTTTCTATTTAGAAAGGTCTGATATGGAGATGAACAGGCAGCAGAAGTTAGGGGGTGACGGCCATTGTTCCGGATGAGATGATGGCGACTTGGATAATTAGCAGCAGGTTAAAGGTAAAAAAAAAAAAAACACAACTAAAACAAAGCAGACAAAAACTGAGTGAATAAAATTTATGGTAACTTTCAAGTTTGGAGAAAAGTTAGGTGTGGATTGCTATATGAAGCCTGGTTATATAGTGGTTAAGGCACTCAGCTGATGACTGAAATGTTGGTGATTTGAACCCACCAGCCACACCCCAGGAGAAAGCAGTTCCCATCTGCACCCTTAAAGGTTACAACTCTGGAGACCCTCTTGGTTTCCAGTGGA